GGGTTGCTTCCATGCGATTCGTTTGCGTCAAGGACCCGCAACATCTGTACGTGACGTATGGGGGAGAAGAACTTTCTGCGCACGCTTACTTAGCCTCTGGAATCTCTTCCCCACATTTTAACCGTAATGATGAATAAAAGTACCAACAAAGTCCGGTTAGCAACATGTGAAGCCCAGAAACGATCGCTCCGGGGTTGTAGAACATTTATTTGCATCAGTAAATAATTTACTCATTCGATATTTTAGTATTGCTAATAAAATAGTAACCCATACTCCCGGCTCTACGCCTGCCACACCCAGCAAAAGCAAATCTCAATAAACGTGCGCATAGCTACATTTACACCCAAAAAAAACAGGGGGTCATCGCAGCATTGCTCAGTGGATCAAGAGAACTGTCATAGACACCTGATCGACTTGGGGGTAGTTGACCAAGAATCTGTAGTACATTGTTACAGGCATATTTAGTCTTCTTTTTCATTATAGAGTACTCAACTAATTCACTAAAAATCATTACTAAAGTAAATGTTATTTTTCTTTTGATTGGACAATATAGTATCTAAACGTATAGAAATACTTAAAACCGGATAAAATATTTCATTGGAACGTGTGTATCGATTTCAATTGTTCAAAGTCATCTGTCAAGGTGTTGTAAAGAAACCTACTCATATGTGGATTTCTTGCAGTGAGCAGTTAATATACAAACCTTATGGATACGATTCCTATGACGTGCGTAGTTATTGTAAATATCTTTATTGCATAAAAATATGGTTCCACCCTTAATTTAGTCAGTTTTGACAACGATTCGTAAATAAATAGGCGAGGCGCTCTGTGAACAGAGGCGTGCGGGACAGGGGAAAAGTATAAAATTGCTGAATGATTAAAAGAAAGATCTGAGAAAGAGGCTGAAAAGCGGTAGACTGATTCAGAGATAATATGATGCCGGAAGAGCTAGATGAAAAAGGGTCTGTACGAACAGGGAGTGGATGAGAAAAGGTTTGGATGAAACATAAACAGGAAAATTAGAATTGGATAAGAGATACAGTGTGAAATTATAAAATAACAAAAAATGTGAAAAAATACGATGTAACTAAAAAACCAAAAGTAACAAGAACTTGAAAAATGAAGCTAAGTTAATTACTGGTTAATTATTGATTTCTGCTACTGTGGATTTTTAATCTTTTTCATTCTGATTTTGTAATTTTTAGTCTCAAACATTATGAAGATTATATGTGATGATTATATTTCTTTCATTCATATTATTATATAAGTTTTTTTTTTTTGTTGCAGGTAAGAGCTGAACACTTTTGCTGAACTTTGCATATTGAAGGGGACGAATGGTGAGTTTTTTGACAGCACGACTAAACAAAAATAAAATCTACACTCGTAATTCTCTTCCAGTAATCGCGATGAAGTATTTGATGGTAAAAGTACACGTTATTACATTTCCCTTTACTTGACATTCTAGTGCACTCAGGCTGTAGAAAGAAACTTTAATTTTCAAAATATGTCAGATACAGTACCGTGAAATTTCTTATTTTACACAGTTAAACACCACAGTTAGTAGTAAGTGGTTTTTGTGGATAAAACTTTCAACGCCAGATATATCCTCAAGAACTGAAAGAAATTCAACCCGCGATGTAACGTCACAGACACTCGTATATCGCTCGAGTCATGAATAATTCTCGACATAGAGCTATTTCAAGAAAGCAAGAGTGTTGTGCAGCTTGTATTTACATCGATACATTCTCTTATGAAAATGAGGTTGTAAAAAACTTTCTAAATACGCACTTCGCTTATGTTTGTATTCCTCTGAATACGAGCACGTCGAGTGCCCGAGAGAAACAATTGGCCCTCATTAGATTCATAAAATTTCTTTCATTTGCACATAATGGTTGTTTTTGATTATGGCGGCTCCGTTAAAGCGCGAGAGTAGTCCCGCCAGGTTAACTCTGACCGCTGGCGCTTACTCCCGATAAGATAGGCACCGAACACGCAGGAAGCGGATGTCATTACTCTTAATTTCCTACCAAAGAGGCAGAGGTTGAGGAAAAGTCACGAGTTCTTATGGCCAGAAATGTTTTCATATTTTAATGAAATATTAGAAAGAACTTCAAACATATTGAATTACTGATCTCATCCGCAGTTTAAATGATTTGGAGATTAGAACTATGTTTGTTTTGTTTGTAGTCTCCGATCTATGAGACATTAGATAGGTTTCCAAACACGCATGATTGACCTTCACTATTTTGTTAGTCTTCTAAAAATGTGTTGGAAATGTTTTTAGGAAATTAAGTTTCTGTCACAGTTTCTTTGCTCTTCTCCTCTTGGTTAGATGTTATTAGATCGGTTCTAGAACAAGTAATTTGAATTATCATAGATACATTAAATTTCAAATTCCACGTTTTCGTCCTTTATGAAATCTTTCTTTTATTATACCTATCCAATCACAATACACAATTCTGATTGTATTTCTTGGTTTTTGTGTGTCACCATGGCTATTAATTACAAGGTGTTAATGGAGAAATGAAACCCTGGACGAAGGTAAAAACTTAGCTACTAAGTATTTAAAGTAGTTTCATTGAACTGAAAAACACGATAACACATTCAGTAATAAAGCTAATTTTTAATTCCTTCTTGTATAAAGAGATATGTAACAATACTGCAGTTCAAATTGAAATTTACCAAAGGTTAATACGAATGGAAAGTACCAATAATATATTAGCAGAATATTTCAAAAAAATTAAAATCAAGCGTGTGTCCACACAGAGGGATCAAATGGCCTCTTTTTGGAAATGAGCGCGCGCACTGGCGCTGCCGAGCGCAGCTTGTTTCGTTCGTTGCCTCGCGAGCGAGAACCGGCCGCCGCCTTTGGAGGGCGGGGCGTGTCGCTCTGGGGCGGCTTGCCGAAGCAACTTGAGAAATAAAAAAGAAAGCCTCTGTAGCAACGCATATGTCGGGGAGCAAATTCTGATCTGCTAACAACTTGCATTTCAGCACGTTTCGTGAAGCAGTAATTGAACAGAGTGCTTCTGTGCTGTCATTCAAACACACGAGAAACGCAATACAGTAACAAAGGTGGTATACACAGTTTTAGTTCTAAAAAGGGCATTCACATATCACGACCCCAGATTGACAAGGTTCTACATGACATGTTGTTGAAAGCAAAGTTTTGAAATATTTGAACTCTTTACTGTTAGATCTACAACATTACTCGTAAACTCTGTTTTTAAATAAGACTGAAAGAAAACCTTCTATGAACAAAATCACGTAATCGCATTTGCATTTTTAAGTATCTTTATTAAACTCCTCCCAAATGTTCTGTAAATTTACACTACGTCAGATAGACCTTTGTCATTCAGAGGTCGTGATCTATTAAAATAAAAAGTGAAATAAAAATCAGTAACAAAATATTTTTTCAAACATGAAATGAAAACAACAATATATAAGTATATTGTTGTTTTCATATAAGGTTTCAGATTCTGCTAACAAACCACTACCGAAGTTTGGTGAATGAAAAACACTTCTCATTGCAAAACGGTATTCTGAATCTACCCACTCGCATTTATTAGAAGATACTAAATAACTACCAGCGGATTATCTGACGAGAATGCGAAATAAAACTTTCCACCTTGGAGGTTTATTAGAATGGCTAACCGGGTAGGCATGCTAACAGGAGCGCAAATAATGCGCCAAGATTTCGAGATGCAACGGCCGCAGAGGAGCCGGGGGCGCCAACGGTATCTGCAAATGTTACGCCGATTGGGAGAAGGCTGTTAAGTGGAAACCCACATTTAGCCGACGTAATTTGGTTCGTCGTTCCATCGGCGGTGGGACTGGCTGTCTTCGCCCACCGATAAGCTGTCCCTCCTTCCTTAACGAGCGTCCGCCGCACATGCGTAGGCGGCACGCAACGGCGCTCCAGCAGGCATCGTTACCAGCATGCCAAGCGGCGACAGGTGCCACGGACGCAATCAGGAAGAGTCGAGGCTCGGGATAGCACTGTTGGCGGCTCATACCCTCTCCATCGTACCGTAAACTTCCAAACGAACGATGCACTTTTATCAAGTAATTTCATGCTTAAAAATATAACGTGCCTTATTTTTTATTGTATTTTTTATTCGCAAACAAAATCTGCTTTCTCAAAATTAGGTTTATAGACAATCACATAAATGAACGGTAGTATTGATTAACTTTATTCTTCATTGAACATGTTAATTCTTAATTTCAGTTCGATGTTTTGAAACCATTCTTAGTGGTGCTTACAGGCCTCAATCATCACATTACTAGATAATTAATATGATAATCAGGGATGAATGTAATGTTTCATATTTCGTTTTTGGAGCGCGCAGCTCATCAGCGTATTTCATGTTTCTACTACACTTGATTTTTTTTTCTTAGTGTTAAAACGTTTTCCGACATTTGCACGTTATTGCACAAAGTTTAAATCAATTTTTATATAGACGATTTTTAAATAATAGCGATAAAAATTAATGTTTTCTGGATAACGCTTCTCGTGTTTGATGGTAATGTTTTTTTGCGTACAAAAGAAACAAAGATAACAAATTAATGTCGCTATTTTGAAATTAATTATCTTCAAAACTTATAGACTTGTTTCCGAAACGGCTGTTTTCAAGTTGAAATGTGTACGAGAATTTAATAGGATAACATATAAAATTATAGCTTTTTTTCACTCACCGCAGCGATGTTGAGTGCTTGAACTCGCTCATTTCAACTCCATTATCGTCCACCTAAAGTTTTTGTTCCTTGGTTCACATGAATACCGGATGAACAACCTGAAATAAAAATAATTCATTATATCTGTCAGTGATTTAAATTACACACATCTAACGTCTCGAGAGACGTAAAGCTACATCTGACGAGAAACAAAACACAATTTCAGCATTCGCTCTCAAGATTACCAGGATGCCGAATGAAAACAACATTACCGGTGGGATCCGGCACCGACGAGGTTTTACTTGTAATGGGTACAGAGTAAAAGAAACACATCTAAAAGCTCGCAGTTTTTTACGGAATTAATGATGTATGTTTAAGAAACACACTTCTTACTAGTATAAATTAGAGTTTAGGAAACATCCCGTACTTAAGTTACTTTGACTTTATTACGTATTTGAGTTTTTATATATTTCACTTTCCTCGCATACAGACGATATATCGATTACGAATATAGTTTTTGAGAAGTAAACATATTCTTTAAACAATAATAATAAATCCAATAATATTCAATACATAAATGAGTATATTATTATATTACGTGTGCATTCAAAAGCAAGCAGAACTGAAAAGTAGGTAAACTGAAAAATGTTCGGAGAGTGTGGATGACTCGGGAAGACCAAGAAGCGCGTTGGTAGCTGGGGCAGGAGAAGGCGCTGACTGCTTCGAAAGGTGAATCGCGTGAGCGTGCGCATGCGCGTGCGCGAGCGGTTGGTTTCTCGTTGGGATGCAGCGCCGAGAAAGCGCCGGTGGCCGGCGCCAAACGCAGCAGCCAGCGACCTTGCGCACCTCGCACCTCGTGCCGCGCCAGGGAGTGCCGGGCCGGGCGACGGGAATTACCATACGAAAGCAGGTGCGGCGCGGCGCAGCGCCGCGCGCGGGCTCCATAGGCAACGTGCAAGTGGGGAGAGGACAGGTCCAGGCTGGCGAAGGTGTTATTTACTCAAAGGTCGTCAAAGATTTTGTGCAATTGCACGCACAATTGCAGTTTCATTAATAACAAACTTCTCGTTCAATTATGAAACAAAAGTCGTCATTTTCGTCTACGTTTCCAGCGACGCCAGATTTTTAGTAAATGTGTCTTCATTTCTTCGCAAACATCAAATGTAATGTAAAATGTTTAAAGATAATATTTAATCGATAATATTTATTTCTTGGTTTCTTCAAATATTTATTTATTTGGCTTTTATAACACTTTCATCAGCCGAGGTGATTTAGACCCATGAGTGATGATTTAAATACACGCTTTAGTATTAACGTTGGAGAATTGGTCTATCTTCTATTTCGTTTGATTTTCCTAGTATTTTGTTGTTTTTTAATTATTTTAGAGATGTTATATAATAAATGTGTATACCAATTTCCAAAAAAAATGAAGTTCAAATAATTCGTGCATAAGCATCATAATACGCGATCAAACTCGTAAACTAATATGACTTTACACTTCACAAGCCTTAATCGTGTATTGTACGTCGTGGAGGGTAGAATTGAACGCTGAAGGAAAGTGCTGACTCGTTGCAGGCTGGGCCTCCTCGCCCAGCCTGAAGCGCCGCGTAGGCTCCGGGGCAGCGGCCCTGCATTTCCTTGAATCATCGCTCCTCTCGGCCGCCGCCTTCGCCTCGCTCGCAGCGCGCCGGGTTCAAGAGACGCCGGTCTGGCCGGGCGAGCGGGAAAGTGGGCGAGCGGGCGAGTGAACGACTAGATGAACTGGCTGAAAGCTGAGGAGCCGCCTCACGGAGAACCCCCAAAACCATGCGAAAAACTGTACCAACTTCCTTCAAACTTTTAATGCAGCTTTATTTACGACAGACAACCCAGGCTTTGAGATCATCAGACCTTATTGGTGAATTTCAAATCCACACGCGATGGTCAACGTGGTGGAGGCGCCGATTTCACTTTGCGCAAGAAGGAAGCTGCTTTGAATAACGGTAAAAAAATCAACACATTGAAAACGTAGTCGGTGAATTGTGAAGAAAACACGGGCGAACTAGTGTATGAATGACAGATTGAGAAAATAGCGATGGGAAACAAGCCAGAGGTAACGAACAATAGCAAGAGGGAAAGGAAAATGAGCAATGGCAAAAGGTAAAAGCAAACGAACCATGGAACACGTCACACGTTGACAAATTAACGTTTTTAAAATTGGGAGACCAATTGGGACGGCAGATTGGTTTTAGAAATTGGACAAAGGACGGCAAATGGGCTGTGGTGAATCGACGCTGGCAAATGGCCGATAAATAAATGTGCACACGCAAATGCGCGCAAGCAAATAGAAAATGCGAAGAGGGTATGGCAAACAAATGATACCAAACAGACGTCGGAAAGAAAGTAAAGGACAATTATGGATGGGTGAGGGGACATATGACTGAATGGGCGTGCAAAGGGACGGGCGAAGGGGCAGGCGCAGGGGCGGGTGAAGGGTCGAAGGGACGGGCGAAGGGACGGGCGAAGGGACGGGCGAAGGGACGGGCGAAGGGACGGGCGAAGGGACGGGCGAAGGGGCGGGTGAATGGGCGAGCGGGCGGGCAAGTGAGCGGCTGGGCGGCACAGCATTAGCGCTTGCAGCGCGCTTGCACTTTCTACTCGTTTCCTGCCCAACGGGTTGGCGCGCCGGCTCCAAATCAGCGAGGATATTAAGCAATGACATTTGTTGGCGCCACTATCTGCTCCGTCGCGGGCGGTGGAACGGCACGTGGTCCAGAGATGAAAAATTGAACCACACGTTAGCAGAGTGTTTCATTAAATTCATGCTAGATGCTAAATTGCAGTTGGATAAGTGAAGGTTCAAGTGTTAAGTGGGGAAACTTCTGACAAACCAGAATAACTACCGGTATTTGTCAGAACAATTGCAAAACAATTAAATACCCCTAAGTAAAGTGCAACCTTCTTTATACAAAATACTAAAATACACTGTCCGAGTGATAGATTTTTTAGGAAGTAAGTAAAAATGGAACTACAATTTTTTTATCTGTTTCAGGAACGTAGTTAATTAATAAATTTTATAATTGCACACCAAAATATCAGAGTGGAAATTTTCCAGCAGAATCGACATACAGCAAGACACTATTTAACTTAAATAACACCATTGCGTGATTCCGCAACCCTGTCTCAATAAACAACGCTCATGCATATACATTTCTAATTTACACGTGATACCGCCATCCGGTCGTATTAATGTTCGCACTCCTCCAGCAAGCTCATCCCGTGCCCTACCTCACTCCAGGAAGACTCGGGAACACTTCCTCCACCCCGAGGGCGGAGGAAGAGACCGGGGAGCCGGAAGTGACGAGGTGGGGGCGGAAGTGTTCCGGAGGCGCGGACAAGCGCGCTTCGCCGAGGCGGATGCAGCCGGCGCGCGCTTCTCGGTCGCAGCGTGGGCGCCAAAGGGAGCGGGGGCGGCAGTGGCGGTGACGCGAAACTCTTCCTTTCTCCCTGAATGCGCCTCTCAATGCGCTGCTTAGGAAGAGAACGCGCGCTTCGACGCATTCCCGCGGAGAGTTGGGACGTTAAGCTGCGAATGTGAACATTGACCCTTCCCTAATGAGTTCGGTATCTCGTCTTCAAAAGCCTAGCTGAACGATAGAAACGTACTTAGAAAGCCATTTGCAAAGCCAAAAATACGCAAAGAAGAGGTATGTACCTCATTAATGATTTTTAAAAGAATGTTGTTACATGGATGTATTTGAAAATCTGCTTAATCGCACAATTATTTATAATTATTATTGATAGTAATTTCTTGGTATTTTTCTCCTAAATACGTCCTAGAAAATAAGAAATAAACAAGTACAATACGCGCAAAAAATATCGAGTGTGTGTCATTGACTGCTGCTCATGTCTAACCTATGTCACGTAAAACATCCTTATTAATGCTGATAGATATGCAAGAAAGGGTGAGTGACGCTGGTCGCACTCGCGAGAGGGCCGTGCTCGAAGTGTGTCGAGGGGCGGGGGCGGGGGCGCCTTTCGCTTGCCTCTATGAACGCCCCGAGAGAGAAGGTGCGCAATTTACCGCACGAGCGTCCTCGCGAGCGGATCCAGACATCGCGTTGCGACAGTGAAAATTAAGTGGGGAATTTGAGCATTAAGATGAGAGCCGACGAGGGAGAGAGTGGCCATTAGCAAACTTATTATTTTATTGGCGTGCTGTGTCCTTCTGTAATGAAGTATTTTGCAATTCTAATGTTCATTTTTTCCTGATGCTTTTGTGCACGCCACTTATGAAGGATTATTCACTCATATAATCATTATCACTTATCACATCATAATCATTATCAATGATGCCACGGAATGTACATTTTCAAAATGAGAAGTTGTGTATTGGGCACACTTACGACATTCTGCTGCGAATTTTGTATGATTACTTGTAATTTTTTATATTTACTTTCAAAAAATTAACTTACTTCACTGTACAATACAAACTTAAGTGGCACACACACATTTTAACACAGCTGAAGAAGAGGATTACACGTCATGTCTTCAATATTACTGGGAAGGTGATTTTGTCTTCACTAGCACCAAGGAGTGTAAGGTGATGTGAATGTGAGATGTGAATATATATATGAATAAGATATAATATAAGATTCATATATATATGAATATTAATGATTATAGCGGGATAATGGTTCTGATGGGATATAGGTTTGTGAGATACCAAATAATCAAGGATACAAACCCGTAGCCGACGGATGTCACGTTTAAGAAACTCTTTCAAGTCCTAGTGCCAGAGGACGAGGCTTCAAAACATACTCGAAGACGGTGAAAAACTGTTTGCATTTCTGTCAAGTTAGCACAAAAAAAATTATCGTAAATAAGATTCTCTATCCCGTTCCTCTTTCTATTCCAATTTCCATGACCCACGCCTTAAAGATTGTCGCGTGGACGTTTCAGTTCCAGACCTAAAACGGAATCTTGGAAATTCTATCCAGTGGGCCAAGGACGCCGCCTGCTCCACACGCGAACACGCGTTCGACGAGAAGGTTCATTTACATGACGCTGTTTGGTCTTCCAGTCGAACCTTTTCGCCAGCATGACTTTGAAGTTCGCACTCCTTTTCGAAACACTTCAC